AGGAAGAGGGGAGGAAGAGAAAAGAAAGAAGGGATGAGAAGGAGAGGATAAAGGAGGATGAGGAAGACGGGGAGGAAGAGGAAGAAGAGAAGGGAAGAGGAGGAGGGATGAAGGAGAATGTGGGAGAAGGGGAGGGAAAGGAAAAAGAAAGGAAGAGAGGGATAGGATGAAGGAGGATGTGGAAAAGGGGAGGGAAAGGAAGAAAAGAAAGGATGAGAAGAGAGAATGAAGGGGTTGAGGAAGAGGGGGAGAAAAGGAAGAAAAGAAGGGATGAAGAAGGAAGAAGATGAAGGGTGAGGAAGACGGAGAGAAAAGAAGGGATGAGAGGGAGAGGATAAAGGAGAATGTGGGAGAAGGGGAGGGAAGGAAGAAGAGAAGCGAGGGATGAGGAGTAGAAGGGGGGGGGGGGGGGGTAAGGCGAAGCGAGTGCTAATCCCGGACTGCGGCGCAGAGCCACATCCTTGGTACATCCCGCCGCAGTCAGTCTGGTACAGAGTCTCCTCTCTCTCTCTCTCTCTCTCTCTCTCTCTCTCTCTCTCTCTCTCTCTCTTCTCTCTCTCTCTCTCTTCTCCTCTCTCTCTCTCTCTCTCTCTTTTCTCTCTCTCTCTCTCTCTCTCTCTTCGTCTCTGTATGACTGTTCTTCTCTGTCTCTCTCTCCGTGTCTTCTCTCTCTCTCTCTCTCTCTCTCTCTCTCTCTCTCTTTCCTCTCTCTCTCTTTCTCTCTGACTGTTCTTTCTCTCTCTCTTCTCCGTCACTGTCTGTCTGTCAGCCTCTCTCTCTCTCTCTCTCTCTCTCTCTCTCTCTCTCTCTCTCTCTCTCTCTCTCTCTCTCTCTCTCTCTCTCTCTCTCTCTCTTCTCTCTCTCTCTCTCTCTCTCGTTTCTTTCTGCTTGTCTCTCTGGGAATGGTCAATATTGAGAAAAGGAAGAGAAGTAGGAGGAGTAGGAGGAATAGGAGGAAGAAAAGAAGGAAAAGGGGCAGGAGGAGGAAAGGGAAGAAGAGAAAGGGTACAAGTTAGATGAGAAAGCAACTGAAAAGGGGGTTTCCAAGAATGAAAATGAAAATTGACCGAAAAAACAGGAATCAAACCCACGTGCCAATACCCTCATAATACCATAACTCATAACTCATAACCACATAAGTCGCTCGCTGGATTAAACTCTAATAAAAAAAATTAAATCGTAATGTGTGCACCGAAAAACCTCCATCCTTTAAAAAAAAATTGACATGGAAAAAATATACTAAGAGTTACATACTAATATCACACCTAACACAGTAAAAAAAAAAAAATCTATTAAACAGAATGAAAGAATATCATCTTATTCTACTCAAAAAAAATTTCTCACCCTGAAAAAAAAAATCAGAAAAAAGTGAAAAATACTCACCGTATATAGACATAGAAATTCCCTTTATTTCAATTACACGATAAATTAATGAAAGATAATTATAAGGATTTACAAAGAGAGAGAAACATATGCAACAAACCATGCAGATCAAATGTGCACAATTTTTACTCGTGAACAAAAAAAAAAAAAAAAAAAAAAAAAAAAAATGGGGAAAAGCAAAAAAAAAGTCATTTCAAGTTAAAAGAAGTAGTGGAAGGAAGACGTGAAAAGACGTATACATAGGACCAGCATAAGGCGAGGGAATGTGTCATTTTTTATAATCATATATTACATTTTTTTTTCATTAACAATGTCCTTTAATGTCATCTTATGGTTCGTAAAACAGATGTTATTGGAAGTGATGGTTAGAGAAGTGGGGCAATCTGTTTTTTTTTTTTTTCTTTTTTCTTTTCTTTCTTTCTTTTTTTTTTTCTTTTTCTTTCTTTCTTTCTTTTTTTTTGACTGATGAAGATAATTCTGGTGATAATGGTGCTGGTGATGATGGTGTGATGATGATGATAATGATTACGGTAATTATAACTAATTTTAAAAACTAATAACAATCATCATCGTTATTATTTTTAATATCAATATCATTATTACACTCATTGTTATGGCAATAATAATGACATCAATAATACTGGTAAAATTAAGGAAAATAATGACACAATTATGAAAATTATAATAATGACAATAACAATATTAGGAAAAACAATCAAATTGAATAATAACAACTGAATAATAATTAAATGCAAATAGATAGATGGCGGTAAATTAATACTGATACAATGATACTGAAACAGATAATGATAATGATAATGAGGATATGATAGCAATGGTAATAATAGTATCCATGATGATGATAAAGATAATAGTAGTTGTATTAATAATAATAATAATAATAATAATAATAATAATAACAATAACAACAACAACAACAATAATAATAATAACAACGACAACAATAAGTAACAACTTATGAACCTGATAATAACAGTAATACCTCTTCGCTCTACACTTTTTTTTTCATTTTTTCTGTACCGTCTTCCACTTCCTCCAAAATAGAGCTGCGATTCGCACATTTTTTCCCTCAAGATATAAACATAATCATTTAATTTTCCGCTCGTTAACTGCAAAAACCTTACGACTTCTCCAGCGCCATAACCAGCCTGCCTGCAGCGTTGGTGCGTGAGAAACATTTTATTGCAGTCCTAAGTTATATTGCAGCTTGCAATCACGCACTGCCATAAGCACTAACCGGTTTCTCGTTCATTTTTTCTCGTTTTTTTTTTTTTTTTGGCTCATTTCGTTATCATTTTTGTTGTTGTTCCTTTTCGCTTCATTAAATAAATCAATTTCTGGTTTCTCGTGATAGTAATATATAACAATACATATCTGATATTTAAGTAATATGTAACAATACTCGTATATCTATTTTTTGTTGTTGTTTCCTTCTGCTTAATCAAATTGATTAATTTCTGTTTTCTGGGGATATTAATATATAACAATACATATTTGATATTTCAACATCATAATTGAAATTCATTTGACGACCAATCACTAACTACAAGATCGGAAGTGACACATACACTTATCTTTAGAGTGTAAACACCTTTTGGGTGAATATAAAATTTTGACAAAGTATCGTCAAATCTAATCTAGTAAAAATTAACTATTTATAAACAGTGGACTATTAGGAAAATTTTAATTGGGCGAGTCACCCCCAAAAATGCCGTCTATATATTTTTTTCAAGTAATAAAAAAAAATTGAACAACGTGGACTGCACATTCTAAAATAAAAATAAAATCAAAAACACTATTTTAAATAGATCATACAATACACAAACAAAAAAATTGTTCCTTCATCTCAGTAGCTGCTCTAAAGAAAACGGGAAAAAAACAAAATTAAACACACACACACACACACAAACAGACAGACACACACACGTAGAAAACGTAACCACAACAACCCGGTTATAAGGAACGTGCGACCAGAGAAGTGTTTACTATAGCAGCTTAGGTCTTCCAGCAGCTCTCCGGCTAAGAGTGTGAGTGGGAAGGGGGGAGAAAAAACACTCTGATATCATACTTACTGGGCGAGCGTGGGTTAGTCAGAACTACCATCCAAAATGTAAATAAGAGATTGAGGACTAAAGAGAAAAAAAAAAGATAAAAAAAAGGGGCTAAGGGAGATTTGGTTAACTCCAAAAGTACCGTTTTGTTAGATGTTCAAGCTCTGATTAGTTGTTTTTTTTTTTGTTGGGGGGGAGGGGAAGGGGGGGAGGGGAAGGGTTGGGAGGGGGGAGGGGGAGGAGAGGGAAGGGGAACTGGGAGAAGGAATAGAATGAATTATTGATAAAAAGGAATGGTGACGATGGTATTCACATGATAAAACTATAATAATAATAATAAAAATAATAATTATGATGATGGCGATAACAATAACAATAATAATAATAATAATAATTGATATATATATTTATTTATTTAATGAAAATTCTAGTGCGGTCAACCAGTACCGGGAGGGGGGTGGGGGGGTAGCTAAGAGGTTAAATCATAATAAACATAGTAATTAATCCATCATAATCTGCTAATACTGTTGTTGCTTTTGACGTGCGTTAGGGTGGGGGTCCAGTTCGATAAATTTGATAAATAAATAAATGAATGAATAAATGAACAAGTAAATAAAAAACCCTAACCACTATGGGGAAAAAATAAACCCAAAATCGTTTAGTTTCCCCCTCCGAAAAAAAAAAAATGGAAACGAGAATGGGAAACTGGGCGTGGCTAAAGATTGGGTGGGTGGAGCCAAAAGGGGTGAGAGGGTGGGTGGGTGTGGCCAAAGGGTGAATGAGTGGGTGGGGCCAAATGGGTGCGTGGGTGGGGGCCAAAGGGGTGAATGAGTAGGTGGGGCCAAAGGGTGAATGAGTGGGTGGGGCCAAAGGGGTGAATGAGTGGGTGGGGCAAAGGGGTGAATGAGTGGGTGGGGCCAAAATGAGTGGGTGGGGCCAAGGGGTGATGAGTAGGTGGGGCCAAAGGGTGAATGAGTGGGTGGGGCCAAAGGGGTGAATGAGTGGGTGGGGCCAAAGGGTGAATGAGTGGGTGGGACCAAAGGGGTGAGTGGGTAGGTGGGACCAAAGGTGAATGAGTAGGTGGGGGGTGAATGAGTGGGTGGGAAAGGGTGAATGAGTGGTGGGTCATGAGTGGGTGGGGGGTGAATGAGTGGGTGGGGCCAAAGGGGTGAATGAGTGGGTGGGCCAAAGGGTGAATGAGTGGGTGGGCCAAAGGGGTGATGAGTGGGTGGGGCCAATGAGTGGGTGGGGCAAAGGGGTGAATGAGTGGGTGGGGCCAAAGGGTGAATGAGTGGGTGGGGCCAATGAGTGGGTGGGGCCAATGACGGTGGGTGAATGAATGGGTGGGCCAGGGCCCAAAGGGGTGAATGAGTGGGTGGGGCCAAAGGGTGAATGAGTGGGTGGGGCCAAAGGGGTGGGTGGGGGTCCAAAGGGGTGAGTGGTGGTTAGGGCAGGTGGGTGGGGCAAAGGGGTGGGTGGGCCAAAGGGGTGGGCGGCGGGTGGGTTTGGGGGTGGAAGTAGTAACTGTAGTAATTAACGAGTAACCTTGAGGATTTGTCGTTCGATGTGACTCTCCTAGACTTCCTGCTTGGAGGCTCAAGACTGATGGTTATAGCCCGATCCTGCTGCTCCTCACACCTGCTGAGAGAGAGGAGGCAAGGGTGGTGAAAGAGAAAAGGGAGAGAGAGAGAGAAGAGAGAGAGAGAGAGAGAGAGAGAGAGAGAGAGAGAGAGAGAGAGAGAGAGAGAGAGAGAGAGAGAGAGAGTATGTACTTATATATATACATATATATATATATATATATATATATATATATATATATATATATATATATATATATACATATAAATTCATATATATATATATATACACACTTATATAATATACTTATGTACATATATATATATATATATATATATATATATTATATATATATATATATATATATGGATAGCTAGTAGCTAGCTAGCTAGCTAGCTAGCTAGATAAATAGACCAGAATAGACCAGAAGAGAAACAAGAGAAGAAATGTAAAGAGGCAGAAAAAAAACACAAAAAATAAAACATGGAACAAAGATACCAAATCTACTCTGAGAAAGACGACTTGGAGGCACGCTGAAGCTCTGGCCAGTGAGGAATAAGATGCAGCAGCCTTGCACTGAACGATCATAAGGGAAAATCATTGCAAGATGTACGTAAAGGGGGGCATACTGAGAGATAAATAACTAGTGCAGTGTACAAGGGCAATGGAGTTAAAAAGAAAGGATGGTCTTTAGATGAACTATTTAAAGTGAGAAGGGGATGCTTTTAAATCGACGAGTCTGATGCCAAAGACTGATTTAGACGAGTAATAAGACACGAGGAGGAAGAGGCCATTTACAGTGTTCTTTTAAGGCACCGGATTTGACCCCTGGCGTTCCGAGGACGAGTGCAGGTCTCGGTGCCCTTAAAGGAAGGTCATGTATCATATATTTAAAGAAGAGGAATATAATGTATATGTGGATTTATATTGCTTCTCAAAAGCGTGCAAAGGATGCAATAGAAATGAATAACTTACCCTCAGATACACCCCTGCAATAGGGAGGGGAAGGGGGGGGGAGGGATACTAAAAACATATTTTCTTTCTCTCTTTCTCTAGAGTTTTGGGGAAAAAAATAGGAATCATAATCTACCAGAATATCTAAAATAGAAGACACGGAATGAGAGATCAAACGAAGGGAGTCTGATCTTGCAAATGCATCTTTAAGTGCAATACCAATCAAATCTCCGTGTTTGGACAGGCTCAACAGACCCTCTCAAGCCTGCACGGTGCCATCCACGTCCTCGCTGTCTGAATAAGGTTTTTTTTTCTTTTTCTTTTATTTTTTCTTTCCGTTTCGCGTCTTTAACCGCGTTTGTTTGGTTCAATAGGAACATTGCAAGCGCCGATTATTCTACATGAATTTAAGGTCGAATTCGAACAGCTCCAGGCAAGATGACTGTCGAATATAAAATGCTTGATAATTATTCTGCGTGTGAGATCCCGAATTTAAGGTCGAATTCGATCAGCTCCAGGCAAGATGACTGTCGAATCACTTGATAATTATTCTGCGTGTGAGATCCCGAATTTGAGGTCGAATTTGAACAGCTCCAGGCAAGATGACTGTCGAATCACTTGATAATTATTCTGCGTGTGAGATCCCGAATTTGAGGTCGAATTCGAACAGCTCCAGGCAAGGTGACTGTCGAATCACTTGATAATTATTCTGCGTGTGAGATCCCGAATTTGAGGTCGAATTCGAACAGCTCCAGGCAAGATGACTGTCGAATCACTTGATAATTATTCTGCGTGTGAGATCCCGAATTTGAGGTCGAATTCGATCAGCTCCAGGCAAGATGACTGTCGAATCACTTGATAATTATTCTGCGTGTGAGATCCCGAATTTGAGGTCGAATTCGACAGCTCCAGGCAAGATGACTGTCGAATCACTTGATAATTATTCTGCGTGTGAGATCCCGAATTTGAGGTCGAATTCGAACAGCTCCAGGCAAGGTGACTGTCGAATCACTTGATAATTATTCTGCGTGTGAGATCCGAATTTGAGGTCGAATTCGATCAGCTCCAGGCAAGATGACTGTCGAATCACTTGATAATTATTCTGCGTGTGAGATCCCGAATTTGAGGTCGAATTCGAACAGCTCCAGGAAAGATGACTGTCGAATCACTTGATAATTATTTCTGCGTGTGAGATCCCGAATTTGAGGTCGAATTCGACAGCTCCAGGCAAGATGACTGTCGAATCACTTGATAATTATTCTGCGTGTGAGATCCGAATTTGAGGTCGAATTCGAACAGCTCCAGACAAGATGACTGTCGAATCACTTGATAATTATTCTGCGTGTGAGATCCCGAATTTGAGGTCGAATTCGAACAGCTCCAGGCAAGATGACTGTCGAATCACTTGATAATTATTCTGCGTGTGAGATCCCGAATTTGAGGTCGAATTCGACAGCTCCAGGCAAGATGACTGTCGAATCACTTGATAATTATTCTGCGTGTGAGATCCCGAATTTGAGGTCGAATTCGAACAGCTCCAGGCAGATGACTGTCGAATCACTTGATAATTATTCTGCGTGTGAGATCCCGAATTTGAGGTCGATTCGATCAGCTCCAGGCAAGATGACTGTCGAATCACTTGATAATTATTCTGAGTGTGAGATCCCGAATTTGAGGTCGAATTCGAACAGCTCCAGGCAAGATGACTGTCGAATCACTTGATAATTATTCTGAGTGTGAGATCCCGAATTTGAGGTCGAATTCGAACAGCTCCAGGCAAGATGACTGTCGAATCACTTGATAATTATTCTGAGTGTGAGATCCCGAATTTGAGGTCGAATTCGATCAGCTCCAGCAAGATGACTGTCGAACACTTGATAATTATTCTGCGTGTGAGATCCCGAATTTAAGGTCGATTCGAACAGCTCCAGACAAGATGACTGTCGAATCACTTGATAATTATTCTGAGTGTGAGATCCGAATTTAAGGTCGAATTCGAACAGCTCCAAGATGACTGTCGAATCACTTGATAATTATTCTGCGTGTGAGATCCGAATTTGAGGTCGAATTCGATCAGCTCCAGGCAAGATGACTGTCGAATCACTTGATAATTATTCTGCGTGTGAGATCCCGAATTTGAGGTCGAATTCGAACAGCTCCAGGCAAGATGACTGTCGAATCACTTGATAATTATTCTGCGTGTGAGATCCCGAATTTGAGGTCGAATTCGAACAGCTCCAGGCAAGATGACTGTCGAATCACTTGATAATTATTCTGCGTGTGAGATCCCGAATTTGAGGTCGAATTCGACAGCTCCAGGCAAGATGACTGTCGAATCACTTGATAATTATTCTGCGTGTGAGATCCCGAATTTGAGGTCGGATTCGATCAGCTCCAGCAAGATGACTGTCGAATCACTTGATAATTATTCTGCGTGTGAGATCCGAATTTGAGGTCGAATTCGAACAGCTCCAGACAAGATGACTGTCGAATCACTTGATTATTCTGCGTGTGAGATCCCGAATTTGAGGTCGATTCGAACAGCTCCAGCAAGATGACTGTCGAATCACTTGATAATTATTCTGCGTGTGAGATCCCGAATTTGAGGTCGAATTCGAACAGCTCCAAAGATGACTGTCGAATCACTTGATAATTATTCTGAGTGTGAGATCCCGAATTTGAGGTCGAATTCGAACAGCTCCAGGCAAGATGACTGTCGAATCACTTGATAATATTCTGCGTGTGAGATCCCGAATTTGAGGTCGAATTCGATCAGCTCAGGCAAGATGACTGTCGAATCACTTGATAATTATTCTGCGTGTGAGATCCCGAATTTGAGGTCGAATTCGAACAGCTCCAGGCAAGATGACTGTCGAATCACTTGATAATTATTCTGCGTGTGAGATCCCGAATTTGAGGTCGAATTCGATCAGCTCCAGGCAAGATGACTGTCGAATCACTTGATAATTATTCTGAGTGTGAGATCCCGAATTTGAGGTCGAATTCGACAGCTCCAGGCAAGATGACTGTCGAATCACTTGATAATTATTCTGAGTGTGAGATCCCGAATTTGAGGTCGAATTCGAACAGCTCCAGGCAAGATGACTGTCGAATCACTTGATAATTATTCTGCGTGTGAGATCCCGAATTTGAGGTCGAATTCGAACAGCTCCAGGCAAGATGACTGTCGAATCACTTGATAATTATTCTGCGTGTGAGATCCCGAATTTGAGGTCGAATTCGAACAGCTCCAGCAAGATGACTGTCGAATCACTTGATAATTATTCTGCGTGTGAGATCCCGAATTTGAGGTCGAATTCGAACAGCTCCAGGCAAGATGACTGTCGAATCACTTGATAATTATTCTGCGTGTGAGATCCCGAATTTGAGGTCGAATTCGATCAGCTCCAGGCAAGATGACTGTCGAATCACTTGATAATTATTCTGCGTGTGAGATCCCGAATTTGAGGTCGAATTCGAACAGCTCCAGGCAAGATGACTGTCGAATCACTTGATAATTATTCTGCGTGTGAGATCCCGAATTTGAGGTCGAATTCGAACAGCTCCAGGCAAGATGACTGTCGAATCACTTGATAATTATTCTGCGTGTGAGATCCCGAATTTGAGGTCGAATTCGAACAGCTCCAGCAAGATGACTGTCGAATCACTTGATAATTATTCTGCGTGTGAGATCCCGAATTTGAGGTCGAATTCGATCAGCTCCAGGCAAGATGACTGTCGAATCACTTGATAATTATTCTGCGTGTGAGATCCCGAATTTGAGGTCGAATTCGAACAGCTCCAGGCAAGATGACTGTCGAATCTTGATAATTATTCTGCGTGTGAGATCCCGAATTTGAGGTCGAATTCGAACAGCTCCAGCAAGATGACTGTCGAATCACTTGATAATTATTCTGCGTGTGAGATCCCGAATTTGAGGTCGAATTCGAACAGCTCCAGCAAGATGACTGTCGAATCACTTGATAATTATTCTGCGTGTGAGATCCCGAATTTGAGGTCGAATTCGATCAGCTCCAGGCAAGATGACTGTCGAATCACTTGATAATTATTCTGCGTGTGAGATCCCGAATTTGAGGTCGAAT